TGGGTTAGAGAGGAGGAGGATGATGATGGTGAGGAGGAGAACCCACAGCTGTGCGCTCCAGAAGCTCCAACCAGCCCAGTGAGTCCCAGTGGGGTTTGGCAGGGCAGGAAGAGCAGGTTGGGCTGGGCTGCTGCAGAGCCGGAGGTGCCACCTGAGGTGTTAGAGATATATAAATATAAATATATATATATATCAGCACAGATTTCCTCACGGCACAGATTTTCCCCCTCCCCATTCTTGTCATTGAGTGATATATATATATCAATTTTTTATATATATACAAATAAATATAATATATAAATATATATCAATTATATGTTATATATAAAATATGTGTAATACATTAAAAATATAATCTATATAATATATAAATATATAAATACATAATATAAAAATATATCACTCAATTATATATATAATATATATTATATATACATATATACATATACAATATAAAACATATAACTCAATTATATAATAATATTATATATTATATATTATATATTATATATTATATATTATATATTATATATTATATATTATATATACTATATATAATATATAGTATATAGTATATAAAATATATAATACAAAATTATAGAAATTGTATCTATAATATATAAAATAATTATAATATATATTATATATATAAATCTATAATATAGAAATATATATCACTCAATTATATATATAATATATAAATATATAAAAATATAAATATATAAATATGTATTTATAATAATAATAATAATAATAATAATAATAATAATAATAGATAGATAGATAGATAGATTTATAGATAGATAACGAGGATGGGGAGGGGGAAATCTGTGCTCTGAGGAAATCCGTGCCCCCTCCCGCACAGCAATCCCTCCCTCAAGTGTCAATGTCCCAGCTCCGTGTTTGGAATGGCTCAACAAAACCGTCCCGCGGGCCGGCAGCCAAGGGAAGCTCACAGGGCAGGGCAGGATTCCTAAAGTCAAAACTCTGCAAAAATCCCAGAAAAGCTGGGGCAGATCTCTGAGGGATCCTGACTGCCCCAGCTGGGGATTGGCTCCTTGCACATGTGACAAACGCCAATCACTTGTTTTTAAGATTTTAAAAGTTAATTAGTAATGAAATGGTTTAAAATATTAATGTAATTAGAGTAATAATAATTTGGACAATTTGAATTAGGACAATATGAGACAATAGAGACAAAGATTTATGGGCTTTTGGGTACCTTTTTCTGGGCAGAACAAGCCCGAAAAAGGACCCAGATTAACACAGGATTAACCCTTAAAAACAACAGCCTGTTGCATATTCATGCACCTCTTTAGCGATGCGNTTTTTTTTTTTTTGTCATGGTCACATTATCTAATAATAATAATAGCTTCAGTTTCTTGGAATTTGTTTGGAAGTGTCTGGTTCAGTCTGATGCTGCAGACAGGATCCTGGGCTGGCTGAACTTCTGATCTGGATGCTCCCAAAGTTTCCCTTGTTGCAGCGTGTAATTATTGAAATGTTTATTTAAGGGGTTGTTACAATTATAATTATAATTCTCTCCTCTTTCCTGAAACTCTTCCCCCTCTGGGGTAGAGGGAATTTATTTTCTGGTGGAGTAGAGAGGCAGAAAAATGTCAGCAGGAAAAATTCCAGTGTGGCAATTGAGTTTATGCCCATGGATCCCATGGGAAGGCTCCTGACTTTTGTTTGTAAGTTCTCTGATGGAATCCCACAGACATTTAAGGGACAACGAGTTTTAATTCCCTTTCTTCACTTGATGATTCATTTGATTGAATAAAATCCAGCAAATCCAGTCCACTAAATGGTGTTAACCATAAGCAACAGAATGTGAGAAAACATAAAAATTTACCATATTTTAATTTCCTTATAATATATAATTTTACTTTTCATATCCTAGCAGCAGCTACTTTATTTCCTATTTTATACTCAATTTCTTGACTTTAATTTTCCTGCAAACACCCAGCCCTCGCTTACAAATCACAGCACAGGGTAAATATTATTTTCTAGGCTGTCTTTGGAGGCTGGAGCTGGAAGTAAAACCACATGAAGACATCAAAACCCCACTGAAGGCAGCAGCAGCACAAACCCGGTGCGGAGCAGCGTCAGACAAAGGCAGCAACAGCTGGATCCAGTAAAGCAGCAGGAAAAATCGGTTCCATCCCCAGGGGGAGGGAGAAGAGATTTGTTTTGTGGGTTTGATGTCAGAGCGAGGGAGGGATCTGCAGAAAGTGCTGGGGAAGGGAAGGAGGTGCGGTAAAAAACTGCTCGATCTGAGCTCTGGGGATGCAAACCCATGAGCTCATCGTGTTTTCCAGTCACAGAAAGGAGAGTTAAAGGAAAAAAGAAAAGTGTTGAAGTTGTTTTTTGAGAGAGGCGAAAACTCCCGAGGAGCCGAAGGAAGAAATGGAGCAGCTGGTGAAACTCCTCCTGTGGCAGATTCTGCTTCAGCAAAGTAAGCTCCGAGCTGCTGCTGTGCTGTTATTTGTTTTTATTTCAGATTTACAAGATTTTGAGGTGTTATCTTTGTGAGATTTTGTTCGGATTCCTAAATTTGCTCTGTTTTCATCTGGGCATGGGAGGGAGTTGAAAGTTTCCTCTCTGCACTTTTTGGGGAGAGAATGGAAAAATGTTTGAGGTTGTTGGAGCTCTGTTCAGCATGTTTGTGCAATTTTGTTTTTCCTATCAGCAAATTCAAACCCAACAAGCTTGGCTGTGAGCACAGCAAAGCTTTCAGAGTCAGATTTATAGATTTAGCATTATTTTATTTAAATTTGAAGAAGCAGAAACAGCTTGGGGGGGTGTGAGAGGGTTCAGACAAGGAGAAACAAAAAAGAATTTGTGGTTTTTGGGTTTCTTTTCCTCTTGTCAGCATAAAGACACGCACAGAGTTCACTTGTGTTCAAGAAAGGAGTAGGAAATGAGAATTTTTTGGGGGCTGGTGCCCCTGTGATTTCCCAGCCGTTTTTAAAAGCTGTGGCTGCCACCTGTGTCCCTCAGCTGCTCAGCGCTGGGGTGGAATCAGGTGAGGAATTCTCCCTTTGCTCCCTCATTAATCCATTTTCCATGTCACCGGGCATTTCTGCAATC